CATTTACATATAGGAAAGACAACTTGTCTTTTTTTTGCATTAATATTTTAAATTACTTAAAATTAATTTGTTTATTAACCTTCAATTATTAAAGTTATACATTAAAATTTACTTTTTCTTGACTCTTAGAATTATCTTTTATAAATCTCAACATTCTACTTATAAATCTACTAGTTTTTAATAATAATTGTTTTCAAGGTGGTAAAACAACATTTGATCAACTCAAATCAACAGACCAAAATCCCCTAAACCATCCCATTTATGACTTAAATTCCTTCAAACATTTTAAACTACAGCATTATACTTAATATTTTAATTTCTTCCGTTGCCTGAACTGACCAAACTTTTCTAACTACTTAAATCATTCAACTAAGGTCTAACAAATTCAGTATATATAAATATAATAGATCTCTTTCTCAGAAATATTCCAGGATTATGTAAACCTTATAAAATTATGTTATATTTTTCAGCTAAAGATATGTAATCTAGGGGCCGGCCCGTGGCTCACTCGGGAGAGTGCGGTGATGATAACACCAAGTCCACGGGTTCGGATCCTATATAGGGATGGCCGGTTCCCTCACTGGCTGAGCGTGGTGCTGACAACACCAAGCCAAGGGTTAAGATCCCCTCACCGGTCATTTAAAAAAAAATGTAATCTAGAATCAAATAGTAAAATGCATGTTTTCATTTGGAGTCACAAGACCTGTATGTTATATACTCTGATTTGTCAGAGTCCCTTAACCATTACAAGCATTTTGAATACAAAAAGACACAGATTATTCCTAGTATAACACAAAGAGATTATGCTGTTAGGTTGAATTACTTTATCTTCTTTGTACTTGATCCTAAACTTTTCCAAGATAATACTTCAACTCAAGGAATTGTTTTACTTTTTCAAGCTACTGTCCCAAGCAAGTTTGGTTTAGCAGCACTGGGAGCTGAGAGTGCTCATCAGATTTCTGGTCGGGACATGAAATCTTTGACTGCGGATGTTCAGGAACTTTTCTGAGTCTCTTCCTCCCCACTCCTTTTTAAATAGTCCCTGTGGCAATATAGACTTCAAGTCTATATCCTTTAAAAGGAGTAGTTTCACAATCACCCACTGGGTTCAAATTACAACATGACCTAATTTTGTTTTGGCTAACAGACAACCTGATTGCTTTACCACTTGTTTGGACACTACTGACCTCTTTGTTTTTTGCTTGGCACTTCAAATATAGAACTTGAATTATCTGGCTGTTGGGCCCAAATTCTAAAATTATTCCAATGATAGATACCTTCATGATAGGTGTAAGGAAAGTAGAAAAAATTTAGTGAGGCTCAGTCACCTCACTTCTGTTACAAATAGGCAAGATTCAGCACATTCACTAGAAACAAGTTATAAAAGTAGTGTGACTGTGCATGTGTGCCTATTTACTGATTCAGCATGATTGTTGTAATTATGTAATGCTTGGCTTGTGGATGCTATTGTGTACTAAGTGTATAAAGGTAACTACTCTGAACTGCTGGTTGGCAGAGCCTGAGCTTGTCTTGGAGAAATAAAGCATGTCTGTGAAGCTCATATCTGAAGAGTAAAGTATGTCTACTTCACATAAAGTTGCCAGAATCATCTTTCAATTACCTGACTCATTACCTGTACATGGAAGGGGCAGAAGGATCTGAGATTCCTGCTCAACAATATGACATTTGATTCTGTTTAGTAGTTAGCTCTCTGCCAGCCAACTGGTCTCTTCCTCCCCTTATCTAGTTTCCCTTCTCTAAATTCTCTAAATATCTGCTCACACAGAGCAGTTTGGCTCTCTCGGGCCTCTCCAGACTTCGTTCTCACATCCACCCCCATCCTCCACTAGAGAAGTACAGTGCACCATGTAAATGGAGAAATACTGTAAATCTAAGGGTTATTGATAACTCATAACTAAAGCCAAAATGTTTCATTATTTTAGTTATACTAAGTTTCCATTTATATTGTCAGAGCTAGGGCTCAGACCCTTCAAATCCATTTTACAGACTGGGTTCCCAGATCCCTCACACGCCAGGCTGGGTCCCCAGACCCCTCACACGCAGGTCCATGCTAGGTAATTGGGAAAGATCCCAGGAGCTGTTGACAGACGACATGAGCTCAGTCCTCAGCAATGGCAGCAGCAGCTTACAGGTCCAGCAGCTTACAGGTCTGGCGGTGGCGGCGGCCTCTCGGAGGGTCCCAGGGACACTGGCAGCAACAGTAGTAGCCTCCCTGTGCCTCAGCCCCGGGGGCATCTGGAGGAGGGGTGCTGTGGATCAGAGCCATTCATCCTTTATACTTAAGTCCATAACCCAGGACACCTGGGTGCACATGCTCAATTACATTAGACAATAACAAAGGAACACCTGGGCACACATGCATATTTACATCAAATGCTTGGCAAGATTCTGAACATCTGAGGCGTCCTGACCATTTTTCCTATATTTTCCCAACACCCATATTCCCCGATTAACCCCTTTTCATGTGAAACTCATCCCTGCCCTGGTGTCACCTTTTCATTCAATCTTTCCAAAGTATGACTCTTTTCCCCCATAGGCAATGATATATATACATATATATATATATATATATATATCAATATATGTATATAACGATTTATCTACGTATTGTGTCCGCTTCCCAACTAAACTGTAAACTACGCAAAGCAAACGTAGGGCATGTTATGTTTTGCTGACCAATTAGTAGGTGGCACATAGAGAACTTTGAAAGCCAAAAAGGATTTGAATTGGTGGAGGCCAGAAAGAGTATTCCAGACTGGGAGAAACACCAGCAAAAGGTATGAATAGTAATGGTGCTATAAAGATTTTGTTCACATTTGCCACATTTAGCAGGTGAGATATACACACAATCACACTCAGGCCATCCAAAGTACATATACAGGCTGGCCAGTTAGCTTGCTTGTGAGAGAATGGTACTGATAACACCAAGGTCAAGGGTTTGGATCTCCATTTCCGCCAGCCTCCAAAAAAAAGAATAAAGCAATGTATATATACACATTCTGAGTAGCTTGATAACTTTCTGTTGTTGAGGATTTGGGATCAAAATACACGAAACTGTACTTTACATGATCAATTAGCTCAAAACAAGATACCATGCAGACTGCATCTCTAAGTCCTTTCTATTTCTTAGGCCATGTTCCTGGATTTTTCATGCTACCAGTAGGTGGATAGTCTCCACCCCCCCCCCCCATACACTCTATCTCAACTATCTTACCTCACGACTAGAAAAAACAACTCGCATTCATTCGTTGGATTCGTCAAATATTTATTAAGCATCTACCATGTGCCGGCCATTATTTCAGAATCCTTGGAATACATCAAGGATCAAAACGAAGAACCCTGACCTTGAGGATCTTACATTTTAGCGGGTTGACAGACACTAGCAATAAAAAGATAAAAGCAAATCATATACTAATTCGGTATTCATGGTGCTGATAACACCAAGGCGAAGGGTTCGCATTCTCATACAGGCCAGCTGCCCCCTACTCCCCTCCAAAAAATTGATACTAAGTGCTTAGGGGGAAAAAAAAAAAAAAAAAAAGCTGGGAAAGGGAGATGGGGCCAAGTTTTTCACATCTATAATTTTCAAATGAAGCAAAGTGAGTAAAATGTGTAAGAATACTTTTACGGGTTTTATTTGTCTTATTACTTTTTTGTCTGTCCTTTTCAGAGCAGATGTCTCTTTTCCAGCCTGAGAATTTGTATAGTAAGAATAATTAATAACAACCATTTACCGACATGCCTGCCGCTATCAGGCGCCTTGCACGATTAGCCCATTTAATCCTCATGACATCCGAGAAGGCAACTATCATCATTTCCCTTTACAAAAGAGGAAACTGAAGTGCACATCCCGATGGACATCGAGGTTCTTTCCTTGAGCGCAGTGCAGATTTAGGCTGACTGGCTGGATCTGGTTACCCAAAGATCAAAATAAGATAGACAAGTCCTCTTCCTGGACTCCTTTAAGCCAGCGTGGGTGAAGTGTGTGAGGCACCCGGGGGCCAGACTGAACGCGGATCCGCAGAGCCGGGAAGAAGGTGGGGACCCTCCAGCCCGCAGAGTCGCTGCAGGTGCCCAGTACAGCGCCGCGGAGTCATTGCGACCCGCCCAGAGGGCGGGGCCGGGGCGCCGGGAAGGGGGCGGGGCCACCACCCGCGCGTTCGAGTGCCTCCCGGAGTGGTTTGTCCCACGTTGCGGCCCGTCGAGGCTCCGAGTTGACGCCTCTTCCGCGGCAGTGGTGGAGATTCGGTCATGTGACAGTCCGGAGGCCGGAACTGGGCAGGTTGCGTGAAGTGGAGGGGTTTGACAAAAACAAACGGCGACGGCGTCGCGGCAGGGTCTATGGCTGAGGCGGTGAGACCTCAGCGCCGGGCCAAGGCCAAGGCCAGTCGTACTAAAACCAAGGTGAGGATCCCCCTCGCCAGCCTGCGGAGGCCCTGGCGGGTGCGCGCTGTCTCCTTTTCCTTTCTCCGGCTTCTGCAGCCTACTGTACTCCCATTCCCCGAGCCCTCTGCATCCTCTGCTTCCACCTTCCAGTATTTGATCCCCCCCAGCCATTGACACCGGCCCTTTTCCTGCATTCCTCCTCCACGTCCCCCTGCCGCACTTTGTCAGGAGAGTATTTTTCCTTCTCCCTCCTCTGACTTCACTGGGCTTTCTTTTCGGCTTTCCTCACCTGGGTCTGGTTTCCTGCTCTGAAGCATCTTTTCTCTTTCCAGCACCATCTTTGAGTCTCTCTTCTTTAACTCCTGAGAACATTTAAGTCTCTCCCATGCATAAAGAGGGACGAGATTTCTCCTCCACGCGGAGAAGGTATCCTTCGGTAGAGCTTTATGGGCCGCGACAGATATACTCGTAAAGTAGTCCGTAGTGATGTGCTAGTCCTCCTTACTTTCGAAATTCTGGGTGATTGCATTATCCTAGGGGTTTATGGTGGGGCATGCATGTCTAGAAATTAACCGAGGGCCGGACTCACACAGTAAGTATGTATTTAAATTGTCTGGGTTTCCTGGATTAGACTATGTGTCGTATTAGTGTGGTTTTAAGTTGATCTGTTTTGTTTTTAGATGCAGTCTGGATTTTCATTTGGTTCCTATGTATTTTCTACAGTGAACAGATTAAATGCTGCCACTAGATGTCCGGAACTAGAAAATTTGGCTTACCTGAAACAGAATTTACATTAAGGAAATAATGAGTGTGGTATTACAAGAACAGGAAACTTCCTCTCCCAGAAGTGGGTGATGTTCCTGAGCAGGTGTAATTTAAACGTGATACCTGTTAATCTGATTTTTACATGGGAACGAGGTTTTGACAGGAGTGTTCATAGGTATCATATTTAATAAACTGTAAATAACTTATGTAGATCCGTTTCATTGTTACGCCTTTTTAAAGGCTGTGGTAGAGTTAGGCACATCAGTGTACCCAGATCTGTGATGAGTTACTCTATGGTGAGAAAGCCATTTTGGTACCTAATTTTAGGAACGTTTTTAAGAGAAATAATTTTGCATGGTATTAGGTTGGTAAAGAACTATCCAGGCAGAGGAGGAAGAAGAAAGTCTTTGGTCAGCCATGCATAAGATCCCTGAACGCAGAATACAGTAGTGCATAATGTGTGAACAATAGTCGTCCTTAGAGAGCAGAATGTTAAATCTTAATCTTTAGTGTTCTTTTCCCCAAATAAATGATCAATCCAAAGCCTAGAGAGGTTAAATGATAGCCTAAAGTTATGCACTTAGTGAGAATACTCAAGTTAAAGTTGGAAATACTTACTCTATCCTGTAGCTTAATAATTATTTTATATATGTATGTCTTTGTGTGTCCATATATACAATGTTATAAATGCTTAAAAATAGTTAAGAAGATTCTTTCTCAAGTTATTTTGTTTAAAACAGGATTTCTAAATTAAAAAATTGAAAATCCTAAGCTTTTAAATCCATCATGAAAAGCCAGTTGCTTATTTTATTGATACGTTCCAGGCAACTTTCCTGTGCAAACATTAATGTGTTTTCTTATCTGTTAAAGTTTATGTAGAGGCTTTCATTTCAGAGGCTTTTAGTCAAATCAAAAATCCCTGACACATGCTTTTTCTCACTCTACAAATGTAATTAATCACTAAATCTTACCAATTGTATTTCTTATATATCCTCTTGATTTTGCCCATTTCTCTTCTTCCTAACTACCTACGACCTTCCTCCGAGGAATATTTCTTTGATTTCTGGTAAACTGGCCTTTTCACCTTCATTCTTGCTGCCCATTCTCTAAACTGAAGTTGGGTTGATATTTTAAAAAAACAAACTGGTCACTCACCTTAAAACCTTTCAGAGGTTTCCCATCACCCATGGGCTAGAGCCCAAAGCTCGGACTAAGGGCCCTGCATGATCTGGTCTCTGTCTTCCTCCTCAGCCTCTGTTGTACCACTGTTGTCTCTTGATTCTCAACCATATATGTCTGTTCTGGCTTCAGGGCCTTTGCACATGCTATTTCCTCTGTCCTGCCCCTCTTCACTTAGCTAACTACTGCTCATTTATGATGTCAGCCTAAACAATATTTCCTTAGAGAAGCTTTCCCTCATCACCCTGGTATTGCTGCCCCCTCCAGTAGCACTCTGCACCCCTTTGTATCCGTCAGCTCATTTGTAGTTACTTTGTCAACATTTCTCTTCTCCCTTAGATTGTGAACTTACTGAGGGAGGGACCTGTCTTGTTCCCTGTGCCCTTCACAGCCCCTGAGTCACTTGGTGATGTTTGTTAAATGAAGAAATAATAAATATTGAAGAATATTTTCAAGTGCTGTCACTCAGAAGAATTTGCTCTGGTAATTTTCCTCTGACTAGTATGAGAAAGAAAACAGAAAAAGTCCACAACACCAGCAAGGCCCTCATACTTGTCAGTCTAGAAAATTAATTCTTTTGGAGTAGACAGATGCATTTATTTCTTAGTGCTGGCTGTGGTTTGGCATGGTTATAAAGTTCTACATTAATGAAAACTTTAACATCTGTGGTATAATCTGGCAACTATTTAGAGACGTAAAGTGGTTCCAAAGCTCAGTTTAGGAAGTGGATAGTGTCATGTGCTTGTCTTTAGATAGTTTGAGTGGCTTCTGAATTTTACTCAGCAGCTGACCTACATTCCTCAATGTTAATCATCTGGTAGGTGACCTGAATTCCTAGGTTGTGGTTAGGTACCTTATGCGTATCACCTGATACCTGAGAAGTAATCCTAATAATGATTTCATTCTTTTTTTTTTTTTCCTTTTTGTCTTTTTTTTGTGTCCGGCAACGGATCGCAACCCTCAGTGTCGTGCCCGTACTGGACCGGGACCGGCAACGGGATCGCAAACCTCGGTGCTGTGCCCGCACCTCGCTCAGCCAGTGAGCGGGAACCGGTCTGTATGTGGGATCCGAACCCTCGGCGGGAGCGCCACCATGCTCCCAAGCGGCGCACTGCAGCAGTGCGCCACCGGGCCGGCCCGAATGATTTCATTCTTTTAGTATCATTCTCTGCTAAAACATCCCCCAGGTCTGAGGACTCTGACTTCACTGATCTTGGGAAATAGTGGGTTAAGAATAGTAAATTCTTAGATTTGAACTTCTCTGCAGCAGTAGTGTATTTTGTAGTCACAGGATATATTTTTCAGTTCATATTAACTTCTGAATGTCAACAACTCATTAATAATAAAAGCTTCTGGTAATTGCTAGGGATGGATTGAGATGTGTCCTGGAAAGCTGATAACAGAAACAGAAAGACTTTTAAATCCTCATCCCCTCTTGCTTATGGCCTAGATGATTGATTTCTACCTCTAATCCCTCTCTGCCAGGAGTGATCATTGGAGTGAAGTTGGGGTATGCTGTATGGTATTATTTGTTTCTTTTTGTGCCTCCTAAAATACATTCATTTGTTAAACACTCAGTGATCACCCATTGCGTCCCAGAAACTGTTCTAGGCACTTGGGATGTAAAAGAGAAAAAAACCAAAGAATCTGGCCTTACAGTCTAGAAGGAGAAGACAGATCAAACAAGCAAACAAAAAAACTCCCCCAAACAAAACCAAACCAAAACCAACAAAATATATATTAGAAGGATTCTAGTGTTACGGAAAAAAGAAAAAGAACAGGGTAAAGAGTTGGGGAGTACTAAGAGGCTGGGGATGGGTTGCAATTTTGAAAAGGTAGTCAAGATAGTCCTTATTTGAAGGTGACATTTAAGTAAAGACATGAAAGAGATGGAGTTTGCCATGTGGATACTGGGGTAGAAGCGTTCTAGGCAGAGGGAACAGCTGGGTAAAGGCCTTCAGACAGTGGCATGCTTGTTCTGTCCTAGAAACTGCAAGGAGGCAGTATTACGGTTGAGTGAGTGAGGGGAGAGTAGTAGGGGATTGTTTTGCTGATAGTTTTTACTTTCATTTAGGTTCAAAGACTTGTTGGTAAAATAAACCACTCGTCACACTAATAAGCCAGTTTATGATATTTATTAATATACAGCAATATGCAAGTAAGCAAAGAAAGCTAGATTATGCAGGCATATTAAAAAAAGAAGAAAAAGAATTAGACAGTGTTTACATCACCAAATTGGGGAAATACCTATATACAGATCCAAGCAGTGCTGGGAAGTCCCGTGAACAGCGATCTGGAGTCCCAATTGGGATTGTCCTAGGCAGTGCATCCACTCCACAGGTGAAACTTCAGAGAGCGGTTTGGGGAAATCCTGCTTATATCACCCAGCTGCAGACTGATAACATTAGTCTGCATGCAAACATGCTGCTGTGGTTATTTTGTTAATGCTTGGATCTTTTCTCACAAATCTTTGGGATGTTCTTTGGCCCTGGGAACTGGCCAGGTTCCCAAGGTCCAAGAAGCTCCAGGACTTACTTTCCTTCTTATCTGATGGTTACTAAGCACCTGTCCCATAGGCCTGCACAGTTTCTGAGAGTCTGGCACATAGCCTATGCAGGGTCATTCTTCGGTCAGAGGCCTAGCAATGCCTCTGAAGCCTGAACAAGACTATAAACCTTAATTTTCCCAACAGGGATGAAGTCAGAAAGATAACATAGGGCCAGGTCATATAGGATCTGGTAAGGACTTTTACTCTGAGTAACATATGGAGACACACCAGGGTTTTGAGCAGAGGAGTGATATGACCCGAGTTGTGCTTTAAAGGATCAAGTGCTTGCTTTGTTGAGAATAGATTTATCACAGAGCAAGAGTAGAAGCAGAGAGATTATCTAATACTGGGCAATAATCCAGTTAAGAGGTGACGGTGGCTAGGACGAGAGTTGTCAGACGGAATGTGATGAGCAGTGTTTGAAGTCTGAGAGCCAAGGGGATCTGCTGAAATTTGGATGTGGGATGTGAGAGGAAACAGTCAAGGAAGACTCTAAGGTGGAGAAGGTGGGTTAAATTTTTGGGGG